GCATTGGAGCAACTACAGCAGCAACGCGTGCTCGGGCTAGTGAGCAAGGTGTGTAGGGAACTTCATAAACCGCTGAGGCTGTTTGAGCTGAAGGATGCAAGCGCAGATGGAGGACGGACAGGTGATGCTCCGGACGCCGGGGTCCCTGTCGACGCTGTCTTAGTTGATCCGCAAGTGCCCAACGCATTACTTGGCCGGAGGTTTGCCGCTTGCTTTTGTCCTCCTGCACGACGTACTTTGGGTTTACTGAATAGAGGCCCTTTTTGTCATTTTCTGGTATACTTTCATCAAGTAGACGGAGACACGGACGGAAACACGGAGGATCGACGGCTGACGGGCGATTGGGCGGACTGGGACTGGGCTTGGCTACGCTAGCAGGACTGCGGCAGGAACAACTCACTGGAGAGTTCGACCTGGTGGTGCGGCCTCGTGTAGGAAGACCTATGTGTGGTTGGCGGGCTTGAGAGCTTGTTAGTTGTCGTGAAGGAAGTGTGGCTGCTTTGGCAGTTGGACGGAACGGGAGGGCGAGAGAAGGCAGTAGTAGTGTATTACTGTTAATAAATAGGATCGTAGAGCTGTCTGGGCGCTCGATCTGGCCGGGTTTCGGAGTTCGTTGCCGACGGCCATTGGTGTGACGAAGTGGATCTCATCGGACGGACGCAGCGGAGGGCTACGCGACTTGCTCAACGAGCCGGGCAAGATAACAGGCCCGCTACAGTATCACATTCAGTAGGTGTGTCGATGAACTATTGTTACAATCAATATAGGATACCGGCAAAAGGAATGTTTTGTGGCAGTAGTGAAGAATCGATATACAACCATGGCATTGATGTTACGTAGGATACTGGATTGATTTTTTTTCGATATATCACGGATCTGAGTTTATACGCATTCTCTATGGATTCTAGTTTCAGTTTTTTTTTAATGGTTAGGGCACTACTGTTAGGTTGGGGAGCCCCACCGATGCTCACAACTCTATAATTCGCAAAACCGTTCGTCGTCACCCTTTCTGCATCATCTAACTAGCAAGTAACGTACCTATCTATGCCAACGAACGTGAAATGAGCTTAGATAGCAACTAAGACAGATCTAATACTACAAAAAAATCGACCCAACTGCCGACCGTCCTTCGAGGCACGTTGGTCTCGCGCCCAGCAGCATCAACACCACCAACAGCAGCACTAGAAATAACTTGCCGCTTGAATTCTATTTTGTACGAGCGCTCGACGCGCATCGTTCTGGTTTCGAAGTGACATAATTTTCTATCAACCGTGTC